GGAACCCGACAGGTACTCACATTCGTGTTCGTAAAAATAGAAGAAAGTATACAAGAGAATATTATGAAGTTTTAGGCAAACATGGCAAAATGTACACACTGCAAGCAGAAGATAAAACTACTATTGTCAGACCTCGTTTCAAACTTGTCAAAGTTCAAGGTGGTATACTTTCAAAGACAGTTCCTAACAAATATAAGACAACTCCTGACCAATATGCTAAAGAAGTTGAAAATGACGACTAAGCAATTCTATACCATGCGTAAACTGTCATGTAAGGTGGCATGTATTCTTTACTTTGTCCCGTTGTTTGCGTATACCCTGAAACGCGATGTGTATGGTTTCCATCTCCCTGAGTGTCACCCCAGAAACAATTTATAGCAAACTGAACGTCGTCTTTAACATCATATCCTTTACCTTTTTTCATTGCTGACCAATCCCAAAATTTATGCTTATGCCAACCTGCTTGAGATGTACTTAAATCTATGTAGTGACTGTGTGCAGGTAAATTTTCACCTGAAATCGTTTTACTTCCACCTGTTTCCTTTGAAGAGTTTGCACAATACAAAAACCTGTCGACTATTTGTTCCCATACACCAACACCAAACATTACTTCTGGTCTGGTAGAGTTCATTGAAACATATAATGAGCCAACCGGGTTCATTAAATCAAACATATGAGATCTTATAAGATTGTCTCTTTTGAACTTAAAATATAGCGCAACTATTTCAGGTTTCTTCTGGTTTGTGTCAGAATATTTTTTATAATATAATCTTATGTTTTCAGGGTAGGTAAAGTCTTGACTATAATATTTATTTCTGTCATCTGTATAATAATATACTATTCTCGTTTTTTCTATTGCATTATATCTTTTATATCTATAATATTCTAAATATAATGTTTGCTTTTTTGGGTCTACACGTGCGTCAACACCATAGTCATAATAATATGGTGCTGGAGCTGGGTCAGGCAATGTCATATCTGCCATTTCATAAACTCGGAAATATTTCTTTTGTTCGTCTCCATATAAGTTTAAGTAGCAGTTGTTGTCTAATGGAACTTTAACTTGTGTACCATCATTCTTTATATAGCCTACATACATTTCATTGTTATTTTTCGGAATGAGTTTACACCGTGTACCATTTTTTAAGGAGTGTACAAACTCCCATCTAAAATATTTGTTTTCTTCATAGATAGAAAAGTCACCAACAATAGTTTCAATATTTTTCGTTGTTCCTATCAAACTTTGGTATATTTCGTTAACATATTCCTTATCTGCCTTCTTTTCAAGGCTAACGTTTAAGTCTGTTATTTCAGAAGATGTATGTGTATGTCCAACGTCACTTTTCCTGTTTAAGGTTTCTTGTAAGTTTGTAATATTTGCAATGGTATGTGTATGAGTCTTTTTAGAATATTCGTTTTCAGCTCTTGTCACTTCACTTGACATTTTATTGTCAACATATGTTTTGTCTGCTAGTTCAGGATGAGTATGTTCTTTTGTTGCATAAGCATTGTTAGCTCTTTCTGCTTCTTTTGCTATTGCATCGTCTACATATTCTTTGTCAGCTTTGTTGTCAACATCTGCTTTCAAAAGAAGTTCATTTATAGGTTTCTCGTTTAAAGTTCCTTTTGTTGGATTTATACAGACAGTATTGTTCTTCTTGTCTTGAAATAGAAACTCATCTGTCATTGGGTTTAATGTCAGTTTTAAGTTTCCTTCTTTCAATGACTCAGATATCTTAGAATAGTTTGAAAAGTTTGTTGTGTTCTTATTTAGAGCTTGCATAATGAGTTGTCGGTTGTGTTGTATTTCTCTCATAGACGCTGTTTCATTTGACATTTTTATTCTAGATAAAATATGCTTTCAATAGAAAAAGAAAATTCAAGAGTTGCTACAACTAAACCATTAGATGAACTTTTTACTAATGTCGGTCAAAAGTTTGAGACAGAGACCGTAAAGCATGAAGGCTATCGTTTTGACTACCCATTAAGATGGCTAAGAGACCCATCTGTCACAAAAGCTATTGGCTTTCGTAGAATGAAGTTTGTGTCTGTAGAAGATAAAAGTTTTCCATTTATTGTAAGGTTTCATATAGATTATATATCTGAAGGGAAACGAAAAATGTGGGAAGAAATTGAGCTAATACAAGTTGACCTTTCATCTTCTCTACAGACTGCGTTAAAAAATATAGAAGATAAAATAAATTCATGTTATGCAAAATATGCTGATGAATATGCAAATACCGAGAGCACACTTTATGTGAGAATTGTATATGACAAACAAAATTCACAAGTGTCATTTCAAATCTACGAAGACAATCCAAAGAAAGACGAACAAATATATACAGAATTCACTGCAATGTCATGGTATTATTTGCAAAGAATGTTAAATCAGAAAGTCGAACTTCCTTTAGCAAATATTTACAGTCGATATGCAAGAGATGAACCATATTTATTTAAAGATGTTTTCGACCCAGCTGCTATTATTGTTCATGCTTCATTTTCTGGCGCCCAAAACTCTTTCTTATGCTTGGCAAATGACTTTTACGAAAAACCTACAAAGTTATACGAACCACCAAGTGGAAGTATTTCAGACTTTCAAGTATGGTTTACTACAGATGGAAGAAAAAGAATAATTCCATTATACCATGCGTTTTACTTAGAACTTAGTTTCATATACAACTACTATCGAACGGTAAAAATATAATTTTTTAATATACCGGTTGTGGTGTTGGATTTGGTTGCCAACTAGACTGTGGTGCAGGTTCAGGCTGTTGTATAACAGGAGCTTGTTCTTCTGGTTCAGGGTCTTTAGGTATAATACCAACAAACTGACCTACTCTTTTACCAATATTTTTGACACCGTTCCATACTCCTCTTCCGACAGATTTTATTCCATTCCATATACCTCTTCCAACTCTTCTGAAGAAGTTTCCAATACTACTGAAGAAACCCATTTTACTACGTGTAAAAATCTAATGTCCGCCTAGTCTCTTACGTTTCCTGTTGAGTTCCATAGCATTCTTTAACTGGAGCTCATACATTCTGTTTCTCTTCTGGTAGAAAACATATTCTGGGTCAACTCCTGTGTTCGCGTCATCTGCATAAAGTTGTTTATATCCCACTTCAGGGTTTGTATAAAACTCTTTCCATCTCATATTTGCATACCATGGTGGCAAACCTAACGCAGCGTCATTTGACATGGCAGTTTGCATTTGTACATCTGTTGGCACTTGACCATAGTTTGCCATTGCAGTTTGTATTCTAACTTCATTTGGAATATTCTCTGGGTTTGGTTGTCCAGGTTGCTGTGCATTCGCTAAGTTCTGTGCGTCCATTTAATATTAGATAAAAATATCTCTTACGAGTACATATGCTGAACATTTGCAGGCATTGGTTCATCTTCATATTCTCTGTACTTTTCTGCCACGTCAAATAAATAAATGACACAATGGAAAAAACCTAAAACAAGTAGTCCTATTTCAAACCACATTTACTTACTAATAAAATTTCTTTGTTATGACACTTTCTCCAGTTTATAGGACCTCTCTCATATTCTATCTTGTCATATCTAAACTCATAGTCATGTATGTCCTCTAACCATCTCATAACGGTTTCCAAACCACTTTTATCGGATGTAAAGTAAAAGCATGGATGGTTATGTAAAACGTCTAAAGTTTCTAAAGAGTCTCTCAAAGTCCAGTCTACTTGGTATTGAAAATCCCATGTGTTATAGAACGGCGGGTCCACTATAAAGAAAACATTTTCCTTGTCTTTATATTTTTCATACAAATCTGTCCAATGACATCTCACAAACTCTATACCCTCAATATATTTATCTATGTCCTCTTTGAAAACATTTGTATAGTTAAGATATAAAACTTTTGACATAAGTGTTTCAATGTCATGAACTCTTATAGCACCACTATATAATAGTCTAGCAGATATACTATCCCAGTCTATATATTCTGCTTTTTTCAAAACCTCTCTCACAATATTTTTCTTATCTAATGGTATACGTTCCATCTTACCTATAGGTATCTTTTCTTTTAACTCTTTCAATATATTGTTTGTGTCTGGAATATGTTTGAGACGGTCCATATAGTTGTCGAAGTCATTGCATATAATCTTTGAGTCTGGGAATATTGTATGGCACAAATGGGATATATAGAAACTTCCACCGAACAAATCTACAAATGTTAGACCATTCGGTAGTTTCTTAAGTTCTCTCAATATAATATCTTTACATTTACTCTTATTTCCAAAGAACGGTAACGGTGGTTTTGTAAAATTCATTTATATATAATAATAAAAATGTTTTTACCTGAAAAGTGACAGAAAAGTGACAAAACATGAAAACATATATAATTTGTGAAAAGCGACACATTATATAATGTTTTCGACCCAGAAGAAGGCTTCTTCCCAGAAGCAATGGAGGAAGAAGAAGAGTCCTCCGAATTCACACCAGAAGACTAACAATTTTCCGAATAAAAACTTCATTTATACTAAACATCTTCGGGGCTAGAGGGCACGAAGTGCCTGGAAGCCCCACTACCTTTTTTTTTTTTTTTTTTTTTTATCTCCAAACAAATGATGGAATCCCAAATAATAAAAAATTTCTAAAATTTGTTCCATGTATAGTTGGATACTCAATCAATGCATAATGATTTCAATAAATTTCAATTTTGTATTAATTTTTACATATTCGGCTCTCACCAAAGCTAACATCAAGCATGTATACTAAACTTCTTTGCATAAACTGCTAATATGAATTAAATTTTGTCCAATATATATTATTAGACATAGTAAATGAAAAAAATCAAATTTTTAGCATGAATGGTTAGCAAACACTTAACCATTTTAATAATCTCATCATTGAAATTTGATTTTATTAACTAAAATCTATTTTAGAGACTCATATTATAAATAAAGAGCGATTCATTTACAGAAAATTTATTACTTGGCACAAAAATATAACAAAAATAAAAATATATTAATTAAAATTATTCATCTGAGAAATTTCTTAAGAAAGAGAATGATTCAAGGATCTGTTCAGAGAACTTTGTTTCACTCCACTTCATTATTGAGATCTTTTCTCTAATATCAGTGAAATCTCCCTGATATTTGTAAGTTGTTGGGTTGTATTGCTGCATTCCCAAATTGTAGTGATTGACGAATCCCATTACATCGTTTGGCATCGGATTGAAGTCATCTGGCTGCTGATTTGACAAAATTTTGAGAACAAGAAGTTTTGGAAGGTCCGGACATATTTCATCCGATACAACAGGGTTGCAGCATATTGCTGAACTCATCATCAGTACAGATGCAGCTTGTCTGAGGAAGGGAAGTGAAATAGATTTTTCTGCCATAACAGTACTGAGGGAATTCCACTGTGCAGCGCTCAGGAATGTGCAGCTGTATGGAGAAGCCGCGATCTGCTGGACAGTTTTCATGTCAATGACAGAAATTAAGTAGTTATGGAAAAATGTTTTCGCTGGCTCTTCAAGAGGAAGACTTTTCTCCGCGGTCTTGATCAAATGATTGAGTTCATTGGCCAACTGTGTCATATCAAGTAGACAAGAGACAAATTCTTGTGTAATATTTTCGAAAATCGGCAAAACAGGGTTTACGATGTCCACCATTAACTGTGTGCAATACTCGCTAAGTTTAGTGGTTGCATCTGTAACGCGGCTCTCAACGGCGGTCGGCGTTGACTTAATAAGCGCAATTAAGTAAATTGTGACAATAAATTTGTCTGTGGTCGTAGAATTCGATACAATTGTTGCGGTTTTGTAATTCTCGAAGAAATCGAAGAAAATTTCGTTGTATTCGTAACTTTGCAAAACTTGGTCTTGGAAAAGTTTTGTGTGGATAAAAGCTGCGTAAATAACAACAGCTGGTAATGGTAAAGCATTTGCTGGTAAAGGAGATTTAGACCATTCTTTCTTTAAGATAGATTTCAACAAATTAATTGATGTCGTAGAATGATCTTCAGTACTGAGCGGGCTTGATATGATTGATGGTTCTTGTGCAGGTGAAGCAACAATTGCTGATGGAGAAGAAGGTTCGTCGGTGTCAAAATATTTTGGAGGACGTAAATTGGGCATAGAGTGATTCTTATGGGTCAGGTGATGAAGACTTCCCTTCCTAGGTGAGGATTCGGTGGAAGGAGAGGCTCTTGTCACTCGTTTCTGTAGGCGTTGAACAGGAATCGAGTTAAACATGTTCAGAGACGATGAAGAGCGCTGCAAAGATTCAGATCTTTCATCAAAGAATGATTTAAGACGCTCAGAATCCTCGTGGGAAATGGCTTCAGAAAGATCCCATTTTTCTGGCTTTTCGTCAGATTGAGTAACCAAATCGCTAGCTACCATCTCTGAATCTAAGTTGTCTGTTGTGGCTGATTCATCAGGAACTAATTCGTAAGAGAGTGTAAGTTTTGAAACTTTTTTATGTGGACTTTTAAGATCGTAAGTATTGACAATGTTTCCCTTTCCATATCCTGGTGAAACATCTAAATTGAGCTCCCCGAATATTTTCGGATCTTTGCCATTAATAGTTCTGTAAACTTTAATTGTAATCAGCTTTGCTTTCATTGTATTGTCTTTCTTTGATATATACATTGTAATCTTGCAGTTGCAGCGCTTTTCAAAGATGACTGAACAGTTTTCATTGACAATGCCTGATTCGGACATTCCATTAGAGTTACCTCTCTTCCATTTAACATAAAATTCATCTTGATAGAGCTCAGGGACTTTGAGTTCGTGGATGGTAAAATTCACAGTGGCACTGCGCTTTATGTAGCCTCGTCCCATGCACATTCTGAAATTTTTGCCAAAAAATTTCATGACATGCCCAGATCGGTGAACCTCATGTATTCATGTTATTGAGCATATGTAGCGTAGTTTCAGAAGATTTATTTTGAAAATCATTAAAATGACGTTAAAGCTAAACATTTCTGCAAAAATATTGACAATAAATCGAAATATAGCATTCAATAAAATTGAACCTCTATATTTTTGAGAGCGGTAATTTCCATGCCATTCAATTTTTGGCTCGTTCAAGAATCGAGATTTATATATCTATATAGTCACAATCAATTGTAATAAGTTTCTTTATCTCAAATCATTTTTCAGATTCAAATCATTGTGGACGGATCTAGATACCGCTCCATTCGATCTGAGGTCTATATTTAAGAGCTTGTGAAAGCTTGTTATTCAATTTCTGCACATTGCAGATCAATAATTACAAATTGAACATCTATAGATTATAATCTCCAAAATTCTTGATCAATTCATTTAAAAAATATAACAAAATATGTTTGTAATTGATTCATCCATATTGAATTGAATTCTTCAAGATTTTTATTCGGGATTCAACCGGATATCTATTTGATATGAATATATTTTCAAATAATGATATATTGTTTATATATGTATGCTTTTTAATGATTATATGAACTACGAAGATCCTTAGGCACAACTTAAGTTTGTAATTTTGCAATTCAGAAATATTTGAAGCTGGAATAGTCAATAACTGATCAAGAACTAAAAGTTTACTTTGAGCATCGGTCATATAACTTCGCAAGTCTTATAGACTAAGCAATTTTGGAAATATGATTAGAAAAATATCCAAAGTTCAGGTCCGATTTTTCATTGATAACATTGTCACAAATGTATTTATAGGAAATATCATTAACACTTGATTTTTTTTCATATGAATAAATCGCGGCTTTTTTTCTATCGTTCTAACATAAATTCTGTATTGAATTCAGCCTTTTACATTCATACAGATGATCAGCAGACAAAATCCGATATATCCGAAAAATTGGAAAGAAGACTTTCTTAAGCAACCAGAAAATTCCTGGTTTTGTGACATTCCAGATGATTATATCATCGAAAGCTTCAATTTAACAGGTTTAGAAGATAAGTTCTCGTACTTCGACCAAGAATTACAAGTACTTGTCAACAAAAAATCTATTACAAAACTTGCAGATTCTATTCGCGAAACAGTTTGGAACGAACTTCCGATTTTATATGGAAGCATTCATGCTAGATTTATTATTTCGCCCGATGGCATTAATCAAGTTAAGGAAAAGTACAATAGAAGAGAATATGGATTTTGTCCACGTATCAGCTGCAATAAAGAGCCATTACTCCCGATAGGAATTACAAGCGAACTCAAGAAAAACCGCGTCAAAGGCTTCTGTCCAAAATGCAGAGGTGTTTATCGTCCAAATCCCGTTGTTGAGATCGACGGCGGATTTTTCGGTCCTAATTGCCCACACATACTAGTAGAGGAACTCAATCTTAGGGGTAAATATAGGGAATATAAACCATACGTCAGATCTGCGTTTGGATACCACGTTTACGATGAAAAGATCCATGGGGCTGACAATATCAGTAACTGATTGTTTGCCTGTTTGTTTTTAATTATAAATCCACCGATGTAATTTTTGCATCATTTTCTAAAATCGAAATAACTAACCATACGTTATCTTCAACTTCCAGATTTTTTTATTTTTGATCGTTAGATTATTATTTTTTAATGGTATCTTATTTAATATCAGATAATCACAAATAATTCTTTTATGGTGTAACCAAATTTTGATCAAAATTTTTTTTGATATGAAGAAGAAATCGCCATCAAAAGAAATTTCTCCTGTAAAAAGCAGTTCAAATCTTTCACAATCAGTAATCAAAGACATTGCCAAGATATTAAAAGATAAAAATGAAAATTTCCACTTTGCAATTTCATCAAATTCAGATTCTTCAAATACAATCTATGCATTGTCACAACATTTGATTCTTAAATGCTTTAGTGATGATAAAACTAAACTAATACAAGAAGAATCTACAATAAATTTATTAGACATCCAAGAAATGCAATTAGACGAGAGCTTCTTAAGGATTATTGCTGGCGATAATGAATTAATCTTAAAATCTCCAAATATTGTTGATTTTGCAAGGTTATTATATCGTAATCTTTCATTTATTCATTTTGCTCATTCATCAGAACAAAAACCACAAATCCAATGCTACGACAAGTCACTGTTACCTCCATTCAATCCTCCGCTTTCTCTTTCTCAAATTTTCCAGTTTTTCTATTCATCTTTTTTGAATTATGCAGATTTACCTTACGACCACCGACCGGTTATGTATTTTCACTATTTACTCTCAAATTCAATACCGATTTTTGATGTTTCAAGATTACCTCAAAATGTCTCGGAATTTTTACCAGCCGCGTTGTTTTCCATGATGTCTTTCCCCAACATCAAAGGATTTGTGTGTCATGATACTCCATTTCGAGTAGTTTTCGTTGCATTATATCAAATGTTGTCAATTCATCCAAAGAACTTAGCCTTGCTTCATATTAATAACTGTGATGCTGAAACATCCAACTTCGATGATTTTTGTCAAGTTTTGGCCTCAAAAGAATTTCCATCTTTGGAATATTTGGATTTATCTGACAATTTGATCAATTCTATACAGCCATTCGTCGAATTACTTGAGAATTGCAAGTTCCCGCTCGTCCATTTGGGAATTTCCAACTGTAATTTGGATGAAATTTCAACAAAAACGTTATTTACAAGTTTGATCAAAAATACAAACCTCAAAAATATTTCGGAACTTAAAATAGGGGGCGCTGTCTTCACAAAAGAGTCTTTAAACTTATTTGATAAATTTTGTCAGATAACAAACCTCAAAAAGCTTGATATATCCGGTACAAACTTCCCAGATCAGCTAATGAACATACTTTTGAACAGAAAACAGCCAATTTCCCATTTGAATATTTCGAATTGTCAAATCAATGAATATTGTTATTCCACGTTACTCAAACTGATATCTACATGTGATACATTGACTTATCTTGATATCAGCCGTTGTTCTTTCTCTGGTTCCAGACTTGGAAATGTTATATCAGCGATTGGACAGCGAAATGGATCAACTCTAATATTGGATGAGCTCTTAAATGATGATACAGCAGCTGTTGAGATCGCAAGAGGCTTTATTTCATCACCTCCTGGAAATATCAAAAAATTATCTCTGAAAAGATGCAATTTCACAGAGAATTTGCAGAAACTCATATCGAATATCGTGAAAACATTCAAAGTAGAAGAGGTTTTCATTGATAATCCTTCAGAAGACTGCCAAAATTTCGTTATTGAGTTATTATCATCAGGAGTTAAGCGTTTGAGTGCTGTAAACACCATTTCCAGGTATTCCATGAATGTCATTAATAACCTGGCCACTTCAAAATGCGAATTCATCGACTTATCCTATAATAATATGTCTGATGATGAAATTTTGAAGATTTTATCAGCGATACAGATAAATCATACGCTCGGATCTGTAAAACTCAGTGGAAACAACATCACAAATGAAGAGACAATGAAGAAAATATGCGAAACAACTAAAAAATACCAAAAAATTACAAATTTGTTCTTTAATGGGTCAGATAGCTTCGATATTGATAACTATCAGTATTTCCTTGATATGTCTGCTTCAGTGGATTCGAATAGAGCTCAAAATAATGATCATTTCGAAGTTTGTCTCGATTATGATATTTCTCATCTGATTATTTCGTCGTCTTCGTATTTAAAGGGCGAAAACATACACACGCATTCAACTATAGGCGAATTCCTTGGTCTTCCTTATCCGTTTTCGAAAGAATCCTTTGCAAATCTTAATAATAAAATTATTTTCAAGGAATACCAGCTCGAAATGGGCCAAATCGAAGAGGAAGATGATATCTGCTCACAAAACGTCTTCCTGCAGAAGAACAACAAAGAAATCGAAAAAATTTCGTATAATTTGAACGATGGACCATTTTATCCTGTTTCTCTACAAGTTAGGACCTTCAAACAAGATTCCGATGATGATTTCTCAACAGCTAAAATGAATCTCCAAAATCCGAAAAGTAAACTCCCTGCGTTCGACGATTCTTCCTCTTCTTCTTCCTCAAGTTTTCAAATTGAAAAAATTGAGAAAAGCGACGATGATGAGAAAAGTGACAAAATTATAAAAAGTGACAACGATGAGAAAAGTGACAACTTCAAAAGTAATGAAGTTGTTATTCATTCTATTCCGGAATTAGATGAACAAATAAAGATGATTCCTCCAATAGAAAATGAAAAAATTAAAGATATTTCCGATGATGATTCAAATTCAAGCTTGGATGATTACTTGAACACGAATCAATTACCAGAATATACAGCAAACATGTTTGCAAACATGGTTGAGAATCCAAAACAGCCACATGAAAGAGATATCAAATTTGATGAAGAATCTGCTTCTGAATCCGAAAATACTGGCTCAGATGAAGATGACCATCCACCAAAGAGAATAGATTTCACACAAAGTACTGATTCTGAAGAAGAAAAAATAAATATTCCTCCGAAACTTCAACAAAAGCCCCAAAATAATGAACAAATAGATAACAATAGTGAAACAAGACCCACAGAGAAGACATCTATGAGTTCAACAAGGAAATCTTACAGAGCTTACAAATCTCTTGACGAAGAAGTGAATTTGTCAAGTGAAATTGTTGATATTCCTCCTCCTGAAGACATAACACAATCAACAATTTCAAGTGGATACAAGAGACCGATGTTTTACGAGAGATTTTCATTTTTGTATGATAAACTCAAAGATAACAAAGAACAACCACAAAAACAACGTTCTCCTGCAACTAAGCAAACTCCAGTTAGAGGGAAATCACAAGTTAATATCAAGAAAACTCCAAATAAAATAAACAAACCAAAACAGACAACGCAACAGAAGAAAGACCTTGAAAGAGAGAAAGATGCACTGGCATTAGCTCTCTCTTCACCAATCATTGATTCAGAATCAGATGTTTAAATTTTTATTATTAATATTTTGTAAATAAATGTTTAAATTTTAATTCATTTAAATTTTCGCCTATGACCGTATGCCATAAACTTTGAAATTGGGGGTTTACATGGGGTGCAAAAAAAATGCAAAAAAAACGATTATTTAAAATTGAATTTGCACATTTGAAAAATTATGGGTTTGACTATTATAAATAACCAAATCCGACAATTTCATATACAAAAAAACTTCATATACAAAAAATACATACATCTTTTGACTACAAGATATACAGTTTTTGCTTGTTTTTTTGTACTTGTAGGAAAACCTGAAATTTGAAAGACTTCATTTCAAATTTACTAGTCACAAAAAATCTTTCACGTAAAATGATTCAAACAAAAAGAATCACCAATCAGAGAAATAATTTCCATGAGAAATTCGATGTCATTATACGTTAAAGATGAATCTAGTAAGATATCAACTCTCAAAAAATATATTTTGTTCAACATGAAATAAAAATAAAAAAAAATTTTATTCAATCTTTTTATGAAAATAATGTAGGTAAGTTTAATACTTCAGCAAATGATGTTTTATAAACATTTAATGCAATGTTTTGGATCTGATCAATTTCATTTTTGTTACCTTCTTCTTTATTTTCATGATCATATCTTTTGTATGATCTGATTACATTAACTTCAAAATTTGGAAGATTGATATTATCATTTCTATAATAAAAATAATATGTATCAAAACATTTATCTGTTGTATAATGAGAAATAAATGAATCTAATGGATCAACTGAATTAATATTGTTTGGATAATCACTTACTTCATTATCTTTAAAATAACAATGATTAATATTTGGATTTCCATAAAATATTTTATTTCCTTTATTATTCATAAAACTGCAATCTAAAAATGTACATTGATTATCACAATATATTATTCCATTATCACTTCCTGTATATGTATTACTTAAATAATTGCATTTTGTAATTTTAAATGTTCCATCATAATTAAACATTCCTGCTTCTTCTTTAGATGATGTATTGAATGCTGTTGTGAGATTAAGAATTCCTGTTCCTGTTGGAGATTGAATAAGATATGCAGCATCTCTAGTAATTTCGTGATTCAATGTATTCATATTACTTACTTGGATGTATCTTTCATAATGATAAAATGCAATTCCTATTCCACTGCATGATGAAACTGATGATTCAAAAGCATAACTTCTTTCAGAACTAGCGTATCTTATGTAATATCCACATCCAAATGAAGTTGAAGAAGAATGTGAACAACAAATATGAACTAAAACACAGTCAGAATATGCGATATAGAAAGATCCACCTCTTTCTGTGGAGCTGTTGTTGTAAAATGTACATGTTTCAAGTAATACTTTGCTATTGGAATTAAGGTAAATTGCTCGGTTTTGATAATGAAAAGAAATTATTGAATTATGAATGTAAAAATTGCCATTTGATGAAATGGTTTCATTCTTTGTTTTTTCTTCAAACTGTGAATCTTCGTAATAATCGGAAAAGCTTCTTTCAAGTTGCATAAAACTTTGAATTTTGGATTTTCTTGTTGGAATATCATTTGCATTAAGGGTTTCGTTTTGCGAAAAAACGTACAATACGCAATTTCGCTAAAAAAACATTTAGCTAGCAATTTCGACCTTTGACTCCACTCAAGACGTCACTTTTTTAATTTTGTGGTATCATATTTTTGGAAAATCTTTATGAATATTATATAAAAAGTCTCTTTAATATCTATATTTCATATTTTTATCGATTTTTAAAGTTTTTGCGAAAAGTATTCAATTATTTTTGCTATTTGGTCGGGTAAATGTCAGATTTGCGACATTTTCTGATATGATATTCAGATTCTACGTTGATAATAATGCTTATAGAACCCTCTTGCTATTGTGTCAAAATTGCGAAACCGATAGCAAAAATATCTCGCAATATCAAAATTGAGATATTGAGTGAATTATGCATTATAGAGATTAAAAATCTGATTTGTGAAAACATCTCATCAGTTTCTAGCTAATTCAAAAATCTTTACTATCTTATTCGATTAAAATGAAAAGGGAATAGTTTCATTATGCTTTAAATGACAGCCTTATAATATAATCATAGTTTTCGCTCAATATGCAGCATTTTTTTTCGAAATCTATGGTCAATATCCTAAATACTGATTGCTTTGCATTCATATCTCTTACATTTTCTATACCCACATCACTATTCATTGCTATTCCTATCTTTTTCATTTTTGTTTGTTTCTCATAATTTCTCAAAAAACATGATAACTTGATATTTGTAAATATCATACTTTATAACGTAAATAAGAACTTGACCTATTAAGAAAAGCAGTAATGAAAAGAAAATCTGAAATTCATAAAAATTACAAGTTTCTGATGACAATTAGCTTAATTAAACCAGGTACAAGATTATATAATTGTATTTTCTATCCAATTATCCATATAATATCTTATCCAGAAAAAATAACTTGATCAATACCAAATGATTTTTTAACTAGTAAATAAAGTATTTTCTTTACACACACATTGTATATCATAGTTTTTTTTTGGTTTCGCAAAACATCCAAAAACAAATATGCTATAAAAGTGACAATTTTAGCAAAACGAAACTCTTATTTGCATGTATCCAATCATGATAATAATACTTATTTTAATACTCAATCTAAGCCGAGTGTCTTTTTAAAATCAATTTGACTTGATTTTTATTTTCATTGAAGTAAAAAAAATTACTTCCCTTTTCCAATTCAATTTTACTTTCTCATTTCGGAATTTATATTCACCAGGTTAAAATCCATATGAGAAGAGTATCATTGCAAGAGAGGCTTCAGAAGAATTCTTCCCTATTCAATCAAATGCAAGAGTACTATAAAGCTAATACATGTTCAGATCATTAAGGGTGCACAAGGAGGATTACGGTTTTTTAATCCTCCCTTTTTTCGAAAAAAAATCCTTGTACTTTGGGTACTTCGAAACTCGAAAAACTGCAAAAAAATGAACTTTAGTCCAAACGCTTTTATTCCTTAAGTACTTAATTGGCATGCAATTAAAATTTCTAACTTCAAAGCAATGACCAAAATTCAAATCACAATTTGTACTTTTCAACAGTTTAATCTTAAACAAAGTAGCTATCTCAAGCACAGCATCATTAGTTCTTGTAACTATCAAACCACTTTCTCTATTTTCCTTTTTATTATTTACGAAAATCTCAAACATTAGTTTCCTGCCTATTTTGTTATATGATTTATAAGTAAATATTACTAAACTGTTGTATTACTAAACAAATAACTTTTAATTGCTTATATTAATTAATTTTTTTATTTATATGAAATATGAAGTTCAGCCATCATCATTTTGAACGAAGAATTTCTAATTTGTTGATTTTATGAGTTTTCGGTGATTTTCGAAAAAAATATACGAATTATTTCATTTCCATCGGTTTTTACCAAAAATAATATGGAATATCGAATATATGCATTTTGTATAATTTATCATATGATTTTGAAGACTAAATCTCCACTTTTTAAATTTTTTTATCCTCCGAGTGCAGGTCATGAAATTTTTGGGCCTTTTTTAGGTCCTTGAAAAACGAGTTTTTTTGAAAATAAATATCATCATCATATATGTACCAATGATATGGTAAAAAGAAAAATCATGGCTCTCGATCAAAATAATGAGAAAAATAAACACGCTAAAATTTTTTCGAAAATCATGTTTTTTCGAGTGTTTTTCTAAATCCATCAAAGAGTTGATATTAGACCACCAAAGTTATATATGATATGAAGATACCACATGTGATTCTAAATGATGTATATTAATCGAAAAAATATATTCCTGTAAAGAAAAAAAATAAGTTTTTATTAATTTGGAGGATTAGCAAATTGATAGAACTCTCAGAAAAAATTGAGGACTTTTTAATCCTCGTAGTGCACCCTTAAAATTTAAAATTCCTTTTTTTTTATCTGATGAACTGTAAGATCAAAGTTCTTATAATCCATCCAAATTTTCATTATTATTCATGATATACATACTAATGCAGTTTTCATTCATAGAAAACAAAGATTTCAATTATTTTTACGACGTTTATCCTAGTATTCACGAATTAAACAAAGTAAATACAAACAAATCTGTTGTTATCGAGAATATTATTGAATCCACTGCATTTGAATACATTGATCGAATTATTTCATTTAATTTGACTTTCGAAAAACCAAGAACAGGTCTATTATATGGTTTTCTTAAGAATACAGAGTATATAAATAACTCAGATTACTTTAATCGAATCGATCTCGTTCCTAAATATCCAGATAAGAGTTTTATTGATTTACTTAACAATTTCCATGGAAAAATCGCAATCTACAAAGATGCATATGCTACCAGTTTTGGTGAATTTGCCATTGGTAACACAGTTATTCGTCCACCAGATGATTCAGGTCCTCAATGGATCAGAATGTTTTGTAATGGGAGTGTTGTTTTAGAGTGTGACAAAGCATGCGTATTTGGTCACGGCAACATGGGTAATTTCGGACATTTCATCAATGATTACTTATGTCCATTAGTTCTTCTTCCAAATGATTATTTACGCGATTGTGTTGTTGTCCTTAGTCACCGATGTGGAAGTTATGCAAGAGAATTCTTAGAATGTCTTGATGTTCGACAGTACTTTTTTGTTGGATTTGATGAATGGGTTTTTGCTAAACGATTGGCTGTTTGCATTGAAGGTCGCCCACATAACATGCATTTCGGAGTTCCTGTTCAGAATTTGCATGATAAACTGACGAATCATTTTAAATTGTTCAACATTGTTCCATCTCAGTATGTAATATTGAACAGGGCACATAATACAGACAGAAGCCTTGAAAACTTTGATGAACTCACAGACATGATAAAACTAAAATTTCCAACAGTCAAATTTCTTTTTTTATATGATCAAACTGGCTCTATTTCATCATATGCAAGGTTTTTCTCCACTATTAAGTTCTTGTTCACTACATCAGGAAGTAATTGCCATAAATGTATTTTCATGAGACCAAGAACAGTTTTTGTTTGCTGCAGCATCATCATGATGGACTTTGCAGCATGGGAAACAATTTTGTCATGTGACATCGCACTTGTTGTTTTCAATCACAGAGTTGTTCCATTGACAGGTCCATTCTCATGTGACATTGATATTTCAATTCGTGCTATCAAATCAGGTATTGTTAAATTAGTTATTTGTTATTATAGTATTAGTTTATACAACTTTTTGTACCATGATATCATTCTATGCAATTCGATCGGATGGAAAGCTGTTCATTTCTTGAAAGCATATAGGACCACTAGCATAATTCAAAAACCAATGGGTTTTGGTCCTAATACAGTTAAAAATTCTTACTTAGATAGATTAGAAAAAACTTATGGATAAGTAATAATGCAGAATGTTCAAATTATATAGTCAATTCAAAAACTATCTCGTTTTTCATCAAATATTTGGAAAGTTTAAAAGATTTTAAAAATCATAACAAATGCTTTCGATCCTTTTCAGTATCTCTCATTTAGAAAAAGGCAGTAATTCTTGCCTTCCAACTGCTAGTATTTCTTTGGTTTCATTTCTTGAGTGAGAAGTGACTTTATAAACCAAGATATCCAAAAAGAATGATGATCTTTAAAGAGAGGAAGATGCATTAATAATGTAAGTTATATTAATTTTTTCTGGAGTTACAAAAATTTTAAATTTTTGTTAAATATTTATATATATTGAATATTAAATGTATATTTACACGTTATTGAATATTCTTTTAAATTGTTTCCAAACAATTTTACGACTAATTAGAATCGATGAATATGAAAATATTTAATATTTGCATATTTCATGTCATTCAATTGTGTATACGCACTAATTGATTTATAAATTTTAAATCGTATTTCTCTGTTTAAGGGCAATTCAGATCAAAATCTCTTTTCTGAAAAAAAAAATAACGTACTAACTCCTGATGGGCATTTTGATTTTTTGTGTTAAAATATTATAATATATATTACTTATTATTATTCGAATCATAAAACGATTCTTAAAAACTGTCAGATCTTATTGTATTCGCTCTCAAAAAAATCGATTTTTTTATCGATAAAAAAACAATTGATTTCGGATCTAATGATTTTAAATTTTTGTAATGTTTCTTGGTGAATATCACCTATTTGCATACTCGAAACAGCAAGAAAAGAATGTTCTTCATAGTGATCAAGCCCCGTATAGTGTTTGGGAGACATTTTATCAAGATTATCCGAAATCAAATTATTACTCAGGTAAAAATGTTAAAGGAAGTGCAATCAATGGGGAATATTTCATATTCAATGCCATATTTCTTTCTGTTACAACTACAAGTGCAATTACTTTTTCTAAAGCAGGTATTAAATTTCTTGATTCATATAAATCACTTTCAAGTTGTAGCAGCAATACTGTTGGAGGGGCGATTAATTTTAACTGCGATAGTTCCATTGTTCAATATAGATCATGCGGCTATAAATCACAAACACGTGGAGATAGAGGACAACATTCATGCGCAATGTTAGTTTGGCAATCAAATAGCAAAAATTATGTATATGAGAGTTCTTTTATAAACTGCGGAAATACCGAGAAAGATGACACTAATTATATTTATCTTGGAAAACCAAGTGTTAAATCAATCAACTCAAGCTATTGTAAAGCTCGCTACACAGCAGGAATAACTCTTTATTTTAATACGGGAACTTTTACAATGACGAATTCATCGGTTTGTAATAATTCTGCAACGTGGTCTGTTATTATGTCTCAATCTTCAACTTATACATTTGGATTTTGTAATGTTCTTAGTAACACCCACACTGAGACAAGATAGGGAACATTCATTGTGATTAATAACCCTGTTGTTGTTGAAAACTGTTCATTCCTTTTGAATAAAGGACCCGGTTATGAATTTAGAGGAGGTACAATTACAATAAAAAATACATACACTGACAGAATGGTAACAAATGGAACAGTTATATTGCAAAATGTTCATAATGAATATATTGTTAACAAAATATGTCAATTTTCTTCCCAAAACTGTGAAGCAAAATATCCAATAAAGTTAGAAGAGAACTCAGATATTTATGATATTTATTATAAAAAATATTTTCGAAAACTTGTGTTTGTTTTGACTAATTACTAATAAACTGATGATAAACTTGCATATTGGTATGCTTTAATATGGAAAATATTGCATTTCCTCTCTTTCTATGACCATAGATAACATGCTTTTTAGAAGAAATATATAATTCTAAATAAACAAATGTATTTATTTTAATTTACAAAACTGAGTTCTTTTTCATCTTCCGAGTCAGTCGAAAGATTGATTTGATTGAATAAAGAAGTAGATCCTTGTGCAAGTAAGCTGTCAATTGATGGGCTCTTCTTTATTGGTGAATAAACTTCTGCGCGAGGAGAGAGTTCTTCTTGAGACAATGATCTCGTTGTGAGAAGTTTAGTTGGAGATGGTTGGTCAATTGCAATGTCAAAGTATGGTTCCGTTCTAGTGCGGCCAAATCCAGAAATTATCTTTCTTTCGAAGAAAATGTCAATACTTCTTTCAGTTTTATGATCTTCATCTAAAATGGAATCTATATCACGTATTGGAGTATGCATAGGAGAGAGCATTGATGAACTGAAGCTTGCAAAGCTATTGTTATCATCCTTTTCGTCATCTGATGAAGTTCCAAAGAGATTTTCTGCTGATTCTTGAGAACAAAGTTTAAAGCATTCTTCTGACATGAAATTATATTCGTTCTTTGTATCATCACTCAATGGTATTCGATTTATTATAACTTTGCTGTTTTCACTCAAATTTGAATTGCTAAATTTGATACAATTATCAATTTCTTTGGATTTGATGCGTAAAGTTAGCTGGCCAACAACATTATTTGTTGAAGGTTCGTATAAGTCTCTATTAATTGTGGTATATTGAAAAGAATTTAGAATTTCTTGTGTGTTTAACGAAAATTGATTGGTTGAAGCTATAACATTAGTTTCGTTATTTTCTAGTGTGCATATATCAATGCAATAATCATTATTTTGATCATTTATATTTTCAATTGGTACTTTAAATGTGTGATAGAACTGTGAAAACGAAGTCGTACATGTTAAGGATTGTGATACATCTGATATTAATTCATCACCTTTCATTAATCTGATGAATATGTTCTTATTTAACGAACTTTTTGGATTTTCCCCAGATATTACTTTAATTGTTAGTGTATGCTGGCTTTTCTTCCCAGGTGACAACATTTCTTTTGGGTTATCTGAGAGAAGAAAATCCATCAAGAAAAAAATTCTAAACAGGCGATATAAAAAAATTTATTCCCTGATTATAGCTTCAGTATTATTTAATGATCATGTAATCAGTAGAGCAAATAGAAAATGAAGAAGATGATATATGTGATTTGTTGATCATGCATGGCTAAGCATCACAAATGATAAATGCAAATGATAACTATTTCACTAATATGTATGACAATATAAAATAAGGTCAACATCTTTTTGTGTGTTTAAAAATCGAGTTTCTTCATAAGTGAATTTAAAATATCTAAGTTCGCATTAATAATTCGACGGAACATTGTTATTTCAACTAATTTTCAATATATGAGATACATCTTAACAAAATGATCTAATTTACATAGATTTATTCTGCTGGTTATGATAAGTCTATGGGATTTGAAATTGAATTATATTGAAGTTCTATGATAATCGCAATAATATTGAATTCTTTCCATTTTTAAGATTCGTGATAATTAATTATTAGATACAGTTAACAAATTTATAGCTTATTGAAAGTTATATAAGTGATTTTGAATTTTATATTAAAATTGACTTATATCCTCAAAGATATTATTTATTTAAGAATAATTAACTAGTTTTATCGTTCCAAAATTATCAAAAAATGTATTTTCCGGCTTAAAATTGATAAATATATGATTTTTATGGAATTTTTTATATTTTGCAACAATATGTACGAAAAAAAATAAAGTTAATTAACTCACTTTCAATGGTTTTGTTATCCCAAAGTTATTAAATGTTTGCAAATTAGCGCGTAATCTGTTAATGATTTTCAGGAGTATCAAGATTTCATCATTAATCAAGTAGGCAATGAGAGAAATGTTATTGGATGTAGCAATTTTAACTTTAAACTGCTACCAAAAATATGTTTCCTCATGAGGAATGAATCAAATATTATCTTTATTGGATTTTGATCTAAAACATCAGTTGATATTCTGAGTTAAAGATTAATTCATTTCATTTCTCTCCTAGTATTAATTACATCTTAATTTGGGTGACTGTGTATAAAGAATTATCAGATATATTTATCAAATTATAAATTAAGCAAATATATGGATTTCAGATCCACAGAATCTATAGACAATTAGAGGAGATATACAAACTGATATTAAAGTCAAATTCAACAAAATAATCTTTTTGTCAAATGTTAGATATGAATTTATCAAAATTATTATGTGATTCTATAATTGCATCAAAGATTCGGTTTAATAACTGGTAATTTACCTTTGTATTTCAATGGATCATTAATTTCGATTCAAGAGTTATCGTATTTGATTAATTATTTATATATCACTAGATATTACTTGTATATCTGATTTAAAAAGCATTTACATAAGTTACGATTATGAACAAAAAAATCATTTCAAAATTTATGTCAGTTGACAGACGATTAGAATGAAAAATATCCAGATAAATATTATAATTTATTAACGATGATGTGAATGAATATTTGTGAATTGAATCCTTTTACAATTAAATTTTGTTGAAGTATTTTTATTGTATTTTTATTAATAAATTAGTATTAATATAATAAGATTTCAAAGTAAACATTTCAATTTTTTTTCATCGTTCAAATCATTTTTCGTTTTTAAAAGAATTTTCATACAATATGAGACCATCAAAAATAAATTAATAAAATGTTTGTGAAGGTAATTTTAAAAGTTTCTAACGATCAATAAATTTTACATTAAATCATGATAATTTTAATAAACCCTCTGCAAGCAATAAATCTATATTCAAATTCAATTCAGAAAAAATTGAATTCCGAATTCAACTTGGAGAAAAAGTGGGTTAAAAGGACAGAGTATTGATCGCAAATAACTATGCGAATCCTTGCTTGTCAATCAAATGAATGGTCGAATTGTTTATCGCCCAAAAACGTGACAAAAGATTTTGTGATATATTCATCAGTATTATACATACATTTAAAAATTACAATATTTCATTATTAGCGGTTTCAATTGAGTGCATTCAAATTATGGGATTTTACGATTCTCAAAAATATTTATGCTTCAACAACTTATTAAACATGAAATTTCGAAATCTAATTACAATATCAGGGAGGATGTTCAAAGTCAGGCACTCCGAGCTCTAGAAGACTTCTATAACGATATCCAAAACTACCAAGATACAAAAAATGCTATTATGCGTCTCGGCATCAATGTTTCTGTGTTTGATAAAATAGCAAGGATAAAAGAATCATATTGCGAACCTCCATTATCTGATCAACATACGTATCAGCACCATCGTAAGGCGATTCCTTGGACAGAGAGCGAAGACGTTCGACTCATTGCCGCAGTATTGAAGTATAGTGCTAGCGATTGGAAAGTAATTGCCTCTTATGTAGGCTGTGGAAGAAATTCAAGCCAATGCAATTTACGTTGGAATAGAGTACTTAATCCCTACATAAGCAACAAATCATGGAGCCATGAAGAGGATATGAAGTTGTTAAGCGCTGTACAAATGCTTGGGAGGACTGCTTGGAATTCAATCTCTAAAATGCTTCCAGGAAGGACAGATGCTCAATGCCGATTACGATATTTATTTTTATCTCAATCAGGAGGTCAATCTCACACTTCTCGATCTACAAAGTCTTCTGAAAATTCGGAAGAAGAGACTGAAATTCCAAGAAAGCGTCGCCCATCGATTACTATTGCTCCGAGTCTTTCTCCTTCACCAATGTCATTTGGATTCTTTTAACATTTTAGAAAATATTAATAAAACTGTTTATATTATTTGTTTAATCCTCTCCTGCGAATGCAGCAAATTTTACAGCCGACTTTGCGGCAAGAAGCGCTCTACGAAGCTTCCTCTTAGCATTGAATTCACGAAGATGTGACTGAAGATCTGTAATTTCAACCTTAGGAGCGTTACCTTTGATCCAAGGGTGCTCTAAAAGCATCTCAACAGTGTAACGATCCTTAGCCTTTGCTTGAAGCATATGTGTGATGAAATCTTTGCATTCGTCAGAAATGCAGTCGAATTCAGGAGAAAAGAACTCGTAATCAGCGGCAACGACTTGTTCATATAATTCATAATCATCATCAGAGTCAAATGGCTTGTAACCACTGACTAAGTTGTAAACGATTACTCCAAGGGACCAAACATCAACAGACCAGTCATAAGGAACATTTTTCATGATTTCAGGAGCTGCATATCCTTCTGTTCCACAGAATCTCTTCATATCTTCTGAATTATCGATTAATCCACTAAGTCCGAAGTCTGCAATCTTGACTGTAGTATTTCCTTTCTCATCAATAAATAAAAGTAAATTTTCTGGCTTTAGATCGCGATGGATAACCTTCTTTTCGTGTAAAACTTTGAGTCCGATCAAAACTTGCTGGATAATATTAGCAGCTTCTTGCTCTGTAAAGCTACCTTTTTGGACAATATGATCAAATAGCTCGCCGCCGTTGACGTATTCCATGACGATAACAATTTCTTTCTTTGTTTCATACATGTCATAAAAGGTAACAATGTAAGGTGATTCGAATTGCTTCTGAATTTTGATCTCTTTTTGAATATCTTTCATCTCACATAAATCATTTGTTTTCGAAATTACTTTAATAGCAACTTTTTTCTGGTCTTTCAAGCTCTCACCAAGATAAACACGTGAGAATCCACCTTGACCGATCTCTTTGAGAATTTTGTACTTACTCTTCAGCTGATCCGTCATAAAATTGATTTTTCAATAAAAGTGTCAAATAAATTCTTGAGATGAAATGATAATTTTGTGGATAATTTGAGATTACACACTCTAAAACTCTAATATACTTTTACTCTGTCTGGCCCAAAATCATGTCACGATGAAGAATAAGTCGTAATTTCGGAATTAATTTGTTTCCTTTTGTTCTTGTTACTTAAATTCATTGTTTTAAATGTTTTGCTTGTCTACTTTCTCTTTCAGATCTGAAACATCTTTGAAATCAGTAAATTGTATTTGGTATTTTTTCCCTTCAAATCAAAATTTTTTCTCTTTCTCCAATTTTTTTTCTTTCACGGACAATAGATTTACGCTTATTGACAAAATTCTGCTTTAAACGAAAGCGTCGAAGAAAACACGCATTGATAATTCATCATGATTATCTTTTTTGCCCTAATTTACAAAGATATTGACTCAAGTTGCTACATAAATGATAGGAAAACACTTATCAAAGTTAATGATCCATCATTTGACCTTAGAATACCGGATAGATGCGAGATTATATCAAGTGATTGCTTTGAAGATATTTGATAACTCGATTGAGCAACTTCTTTTAAGAAAAAAACTTTACATCAAGCTTATTTACCAATAGGTTGTTATGCTTATCATCGTCAACATCCTCCTTTACAAAGATATTGACTCAAGTTGCTACGAAAATGATGGAAAAACACTTAAAAAAGTTAATGATACATCACCCTACCTTATAATATCAGCCAAATGCGAAAAAATCGCAAATAGTTGTTTTTCCAACCTAAAGTCTTTAGAATCTTTTTCATTTGAAGAAAACCCTAACTTAACAACAATTGAAAGATCTTGTTTTTCTTCTTGTTCCAATCTTCAAATTATTAATTTATCATCCTGCACAAAACTTACAACAATTTCTAATTATGCATTTTATGGTTGCAGTAAAGTTACTGAGATACTTCTACCAAATGGACTTAAAGAAATACAAAGTGATGCTTTTCAAAGTAATTCTGAAATAACAACTATTACAATTCCTTCATCTGTTGAAAAAATAGGTTCTAGGGCATTTGAAAAATGTTCTAAACTAACAAATGTTATTTTTGCAGAAGGTTTGAATTTAACTTCTTTAGTAAATTATGTTTTTTTCAGGAACTAAAATTACTTCATTTGAAATTCCAGAAAATGTCACAAAAATCGATGTAGATGCATTTAGTGGTTCCAAAATAACAAATATAACAATCAATCCATCAAACACTTATTTTTCAATCGAAAATAGTATTCTATATTCAAAAAATAAAAGCCTTTTATATTTTACTATAAACAAATCTTTGGAAAACATCGTAATTCCAGATTCTGTCACAACTTTGGGAGAAAAGTGCTTTTCTGAATCAAAGCTCACTTCAATAATTATTCCAAGTAATGTCAAAAGAATTGAAAATAATGCTTTCTCTAGTTGCAAAAATTTAATAAGTGTTACATTTTTAGGTTCTTTAGATTACATTGGTAGTGGTATATTTTCTGATTGCAATAATCTTGAATTCATTAATTTTCCATATTCATCAATGATTGTTAATTCATATACATTCATTTCAAGTAATAATCCAAAAGTAAATATGTCATTCACTCATAAAACTTTATTTTCTTCAGATGCAATTAAAAGAAAAACAAATGTGTATGTTTCATATCTGAATGAACAAAATCTTATTATTACAACAAATGCATTGATTATGAATTCTAATCAAACAATTATCTATGAATATTTGGGATACAACATCGATAGTATTACAATTCCTAACACAGTTAGAACAATCAAATCAAGTGCATTCGAAAACTCAACATCATCAATCAGTTTTGAACAAAATTCACAACTTTCAATTATTGAAAATAATGCATTTAGAAATTGTTCAAATCTAAATAAACTTGACTTTTCTTCAAACAATCATTTACAAACAATTCAATTTTCATCATTCAAAGATTGTTCTAATTTGGTTGAAATAATTTTTTCATCAACTAATTTATATATAAACAATAATGCATTTGAGAATTGCACTAAGTTAGCGAAAATGATTAATATTTTGAATATTCCAGATCAATGTTTTTCAGGATGTTCTAAACTTAAACAAGTTACAATTCGAGAAAATGCAAGAACTATCGGATTTCGATCATTTGAGAATTGCATTGCATTAACTAATATTATTATTCCATCAACTGTTGAAACTATTTCAGAATATTCATTCGTTAACTGCAACAAACTTAAATCAATCACATTCTCACAAGAAAATTCACTCTCTATGATATTTGTTAATTCATTTTCTGGATGTGATTCACTTCAAAACATCAGTAATTTCAAATCAACTAAATATCAATGCATTGATAATACTCTTTACTACCAAAATGAAACAAGTCTTGATCTTATTTATCATTTGAGTCAATCATTAGATAAAGTGCTAATTATCAATTGTACTATTATTCGCCAATATTCATTTAATCACAGCAACAACATTGTCAACATCAGTATTTTACCAGGCAGTGTTTCATTGATTGAATCATATTCATTCAACAACTGTTTGAATCTTAAATTCATCAACTTCCCTCTTAGTGTTGAAACAGTTGAACAAAATGCATTCTATGAATGCAGATCTATTCGATGTCCTCTTTTTATTGAGAACAAAACTACTGAATATCTTAAGATGATTGTCGAATCTGGTATTTCTCCATATCTTATTATTAAATGTCGTGTTGTTCATGGTTCAAACAAACTTCAATGTCTTCGAAGTTTATGTAATAAATCAGCTAAACTTTTCTTCCAACATCTTTCTAAATAAAAATAAAATTTCAAACTTTTCATACATCTGATGCTTTTCTATAGCTAATGTTCATCCTTGTTTCTTATTTCGCACTATATTTAAATAAATAATTTTATAGGTGATATTACATCATCCAATGTTAAATTTTGGTATTGAAGATGGAAAATTTAACTCATGTTCGAAACTAAATAGAATTGATTTACCAACATCATTACAAACTGTGAAACAAAATGCTTTTGCAAGTTATACTAATCTATAATTACGTTCAATTAAAATGCAAAAGTTAATCTTGAAGTATATACTATTTTTGCTGATTGTGTTTCATTGAGAACAATCCAATTTTACAAGAGCTATTGCATGTATATTATTATAGTGAAAATGATTTTACGAATTTTTATAGGCATATAAACCTAACACAAATGTTGTTGTGACATATTCTTATGATTATTACATATTCTGCAGGATTGAAGCTTATCATTTTCCTTCTCATATATTCAAAGATATCATGTATTCCATAATAAGATTTATGATAAGACAATTGTTGGCTGAAGTTATTAATAATCTTGAATATTTTTTGTCCTTTGTTGAAATATTATAGTTAAACATGTTACTGCATTGATAAAAACCTTGATTTTCTATTGTTTTCAGGTTTGGATTTTCTTCAAATGAAAAAGATTGTAGTGTTTTTAAATTTTTAAAGCATTCACTTGATATAATTTCGCATCTAGCCGATATTTTAAGGTCGAGTGATGTATCATTAACTTTTTTAAGTGTTTTTCCATCATTTTCGTAGCAACTTGAGTCAATATCTTTGTAAAGGAGGATGTTGACGATGATAAGCATAACGATCTATTGATAAATAAGCTTGATGTAAAGTTTTTTTCTTAGAGGAAGTTGCTCAAACGAGATATCAGATATCTCTGATTTGAATAGTTTACAACATAAAATTTATGTCCTTATTTTTTTTTAATCAAAACTATATGAATAATAACTACTTTTTTATAGTGAAATTGAAGAAAGTTCAGGTACATTTAAAATTACATTTAAAATTAATTTTTCAACATTTAGAGAAAATAAATCAACTAGTGAGTATTCACTTTGGTTTCAGAGTTGTTCTCATTCATTAAATCTAATAGTTTCTTGCGGCAACGTAATTGGAAATAAATGCGGACCATGCTCAAATCAAGTCCTATTTTGTGGTACTACCACAACTGATATTGATCATTCCATATTTTTAAATAACACTGCAATCAACATGTTTAAACAAGGATCACAACAGCATAAATTAACTAATTCAGATTCATTTGTTGATTCAGATTCAGCATTTATAAATTATTTTGCATGAGATGTCACATTTAAAAATCTAAAAGAAAATTACGATTTTAATACATTTTCTCATTTTTACACAGAAAATTGTTTCATAGATCCAAAAGTAATTTCATTACAGAAGGAGAGAGAATTATTATAATTATTGATTTTATTAAATTTCTTACAAAAATAAAAACTTGAAATCTATTTATATTTTCAGTATTTAACAGTGTATTTGTTCATTCTGAGTTCTCGCCGAAATGGTGTGGAGCTATGAACCATTTATATCGCAATTCAAAATGGTGCAGTAGATATCAATTGAAATTTAGTTGACGTTTCATTTTGCACCAAAGACAACCATTATAGAGTTAATGAATATCTTTGGTCGCAAAAAATAATATCATAATTTTTAAAAAGTCAAAATTATTTTAAAATTAGACTAATTCATGTTTTAAAATTATCAAACATTTGGATTAACATGAAAACTAGCATCACAGCAAATGTAAGTATATTTCCAACTAAAAAGCAAATAAATAATATAAGGAGAGATTGTGCATTACGTATTATAGTTAAAGGTTCAAATAATTGATGATTCTTTGTTCTAATGTAGTAATAAATTACTAAATACAAATGATAAAAGAAGCAAATCGATTTAAAGAATATTGAATATTTCGAATAGAAAGCAGAACAAAATAGCACAATAAATATATATGTGTGTTGAAGCTGTAGTGGTAAAACAAATTTTTGGAATTTTCGACATTGATCTCTTGGGTTAACAGTATTTGTTTCTAATTCTGAAAGCTCCGTTACGAACGTAATATAAATGTATGAAGTTGATATTAGCAGTATGAGTCCAATCAAATCAAAAAACCACATTTGAAAATGATCATAAAATTTTTGTGTTCTTAAATTATCATTGTCACAATGTGTAATAACACTTCATAAAATTTTAAAGCGATTAAAATCTGTTACTTTTATTGAACCCAATTTCATCAATTTTTATGTCAACTAATCCACAAGGAAGTATTCCAAATCCTCAAACTGAGAGATTGAGTGATGATTCTGATACAGAGAATACTTCCAATCAAAATAATCTTTTAGCTAATACAGAAACTAGTAATTCAAAATATTTTCCATCAAATAAAATAAATTCATCTATCATTGACATACAAAATTTATTGTCAACACATGTTATACAATTATCCTTTGAAAAACTTATGAATTACTTACAAATTAATTATCCATATGATTCGTTATCTACTTATCCAATTTCCAAATACACGAAAATAGATTTTTCAAGCATAAATAAAAACTCTCGAAATAATGATTTGACGAATAGTTCTTCTCTATTTAAATCAACTCTTCATTCTCTTGATACATTTCATAAATCATGGGATCAATACTCAAATTATATAGATCCAATGCTATTCATTAAAGATCTGACCAATTTGTTCAAGAATAACTCAATTCCGTTTAATATTGATTTAGCTCAGTTTTTACTTGATTATTTTCATCCATTTATCAATCATATGAAGTCAAACACGCAAATAGATCTTTCAAACTTACAGTTATCGATTTTAGAACTTATTACTTCTATTATTTTAAAATATCCTTCTCAAGATACACGATTTATGGCCATTACTATGAAAACAATATTCGATTTTATTAGTATATGCCGAAATACCAATTATACAATCCAAAACAAAGTATTTATCTACCTTTCAAGAATTATGATAAATAGAATGAAATTATTACCAGAACTCGAGTTTTCTAATCTTATAAACGAATTTATATCAATATTTAATACAAATCATCCCTTGTTCAAGCTTTCTTACCAAACATTATTTCAATCAATTAAAGATTTCGATCAAGTTAAGTACGTGAAGTCTGTTTTGAAGACAAAATGTGAACTGTCAATAGAATTATTTAATTTGATTGACCAAGTATTATCCATACAACAAAATAATCAAAATTATTTCAAAATTTTTCAATTCCTCTTGAATACATCTATTTCTCAACCAGTCTGGAATTTAACAGCAACATTTTTAATTCAAAGGCATTCATGGTACCTTAATAAAGACAAAAAATGTAATTTATGGTTATTTTACTTTGTAAGAAGAACTCTTCAATGGACAGCTATAGCTATTGATTCACAAACATATCATGATTACATTTATTCGATTTTTCACCTCATGAAAATTTTATCTCAAATTTCACCAACAAATATCAAAAAAGAAATCGAAAAAGATATTTCAACACTGCTTTATAATAAGAAATTTAACCAATATAGTTCATTTTTTAATATTACCACCTATGATCAAGAATTTTTGGATGAAATTCAAGTTATTGATTTCGGTAATAACATTATACAATTCTTAACAGCACCAAAAACAAAACTTGGTCCAGAACAAGCAAAAGAATTGGAATACATTAAAAGATTAACATTGGTTAGAGCTGAATCTGCTTTTCTTAAATTTCAAAACAGAAAAATTGATTTTCCTAAAGCGGAAAATATTTCAAATACATCTTCTTTCTTTTGTATTGTCATTTCTATCTTGATTGTGATAGTTTTTCTTACAATAATTAGTTAACTCACCATTTTTAGTTTATCTCTAGAATGCTTCAATATAGGACAAATTCTAAATACCAATTCAGATATTGTTCTTCAGATACACAACCATTCCAAGAAGTAATTTACACTCTTTTTCTTCTGGCTCATTCGGTTGGCTTTCTATAATTTATACATATATTTTGATTCTGTCCACATCTTGAATTAAATGATCCAAATAAATTTCAGAATGCTGCTCTAGTAAGTTATTAAGTTGCAGAGATTATACATTCTCCTCAAAGAATTGTATTTGATGAATTTTAAATTGTTCATCTTTATTCTTTGAATCAAATCTTTTATTGCGATGATAAATCTTGTGTATGAATTATTACAAGACATGCTTTGAGATTTAACCCATGATATATGCTGACTATCAGCATCTAATCACATGGTTCAATATCAGAAGTAAATAACTATTTTGATGCTATTGATGATATTGTATTTTAATTTTATTATAATATTTTTAAACATCAAAACAACAATGAAGTATTAGAAGATGGTCACTACTATAGTTCAATTTGTTATAAAGAAGTATCATTCATTATTCTGATTCTAGAAAATTTCAATGATTGATTTTTGATTCTTAAATGAAGCTTTTATCTATGACAAGGTTTATATCTTTCACGAATAAGCATATATATAGCATACATACATCATTATCTATTATCCATTAAATCGTTAACGTACACTTCTTGTAAGCTTTGTATTTTTTTTTAAGAAATTGGGCTAAAAGTATATTACAATCACGAAATTGTTGCTGCAAAATATCATGGATACTTCTATTTACGTGTGTTCGAGCATAACCACAGTATAAGTCACTTACGGGAAATATTCCATTCTCTTACATCTCAACGAGAGTAAGTTTGTCAGTGATGACGGCAAGCGCCATTTTATCCTTGAGTACCCAACCAAAAACAAATTTAATTCTTGGTCTCAACTTCTAGATCCGTTCCACGACACAGATCGCACTATATCTCAAAATGCAACCGATTATAAACCAAATGAAATTCAAGCTGACTATTACGACAAAGATGAAAATTTGAAAAACAAACTCCATTTTGGAGGACTTGTTAAAGACCCCTACAATCATTCTTTGCTTGATGGACAACCACAACATGATTATTGGTGTTTTGCAATCGGAATGTATTGTAATTCCATAAATGAACATTTTTTATCAGATGGAATTCCAGGATTTTGCGAAGCAGAATCAAGAGTAAGATTATTCGCAAGAGTTAATTCAGTCGAAGTCCCTTTAGACTATTTATTCCATGATATTATGTGCTCTCAAAAAATTGTCTTTCATCCTATGCTTATCCAAGTGTTTTTAGTTTCACTATATGAACTCATAACTATTTGATACATTAAAATTTTATATTTTGAATTTTTTTTCTTCTTGAAAACCAGTGCTCAATACCTTGATACAATATTTCCCCTAAAGAATAGTAAGTTAGGAAATACTGTATTAATGTTTCAACTTCAACTTTCAAGAAATATATCATCTTATATTCATCAATGATAATAATTTAGATCTCATCTGAACGAATTAATTGCATTCTTGCTAATAGAGCATTTTGCAGCATCTGAACAGTGCCTAAGTAGAATCAATAAAGAATTAAAGGTGTTCGATCAAAATAAAAAAAAATACGCTAATAAGTTTTCGTATTTTCTATCTTGACAATTCCATGAATTTCAAGTTCTGAATGAAGCTATTTGAATTGGAATTTGACATGACATGAATTTTGAATGCGAATTTGGCCTTGATAAACGGTTTGATTTTATTACATTTATTGAAATATGGAATACGAATTCCAACAACTGCAAAATTTAAGAATCGGAGAAGATGCATTCAGATGCTACACTTTCCCAGAACGAGATCCAGCCGAAATAGCCAAACTAATAAGCCGTCCTTCACGGCCAATTACGCAAATTAGTCATAAATATGCTAACAAACCTGTTAGAACCATCCATCCTACAAGACATAATGATTTATACATCACTGATTAAATTGTTTGTATTAGTACATATTTTTCTCGGAATAAAAATACATTTTTTAAAATATTCTTTTAATTTATACTCAGAGTTTGAAGAAAAGTCATAATTCGTCAAGGTAATTGAACCAAAGCAAGCTAACTTACTAATTTTTTTAAATGTTTAATAAAATTATAAAAAATTGAATAACAGTTCTTTTGGACCCATTTCCTGTAATGTTGTCTTAATGAATCAAATGTTTCTTTACCAACAATTAACTAAACTTCAAAATAATGATAATTTTTTTTTAAATATCTAAGAATTTTGATAAAAATACTAATATATTTTATTTAAATAGTTTTACATTGACAATTGTTTAAAGATTACTTCTTACAAATTCAATTGCTTCCGAAATCGAATTATTTGGAGTTAATTTCGTCAAACAGAGTTCAAATCCCTTTACAAACTTAGCAGCCTCTTGTTCTGTTGAATCTCCAAGCATGTAATAGTATGTTCCGCATAATTCCGACTTTGATGGAGTTATTAAGCAATAAGAAATGAGAGAAAGCCATTTGCAAGACAAGCAACCATCAACAACAGTATCCAATGTTATGTCATCAATGATATCGCTGGATTTGATGACTCCATTATAATATAATTCAATTCCTGATCCTGGAGGCAATTCTCCTTGTTCAAATGATTCAACAAGTAGTTTATTCATGAGTGAATAGTATTGGAAGTGTTCTCCAGCATCTTTTGCTTTGTTAAAGCTTTGAATTATTCTTTTTGTAACATCACAAAGTTTTTCATTGGGTTGGGCCTTTGTAAATGCATCAATATAAGCTAAGAAGTATGCATATGCGAATTTTCTGTATGCTTCGTTCCTTTTTTCGTCATCTGTTAAATATTTCTTGAAATACTGTTCTGTATATGCTTTGTTTGCATTTGGAACAGTTCTTGTATTAATAGGAATCGAACATCCCATAGAATATTGGTTTTGTGATGGGTTTATTGCGGCAATTGAAATAATTAAACCGGCAAGCTGAGTTTCGAAGAGTTTTTCATCAGAAAGGTCTGTAACATCGCAGTATTTTATGTTTTCTATAGGAATTCGGAACTTTAATGGTATTGTAAAGCGAGATGGCTCAGTTGCAGTTGATGTAGTTATTAATCTCGAAATATTAGGGTTATTAGCACAGTAATACTTCGCTGATTTATGTGTGAGTATTTCTTGTTCGAAATATTGTGTTGGATTGATAGGAATTCCTTCTAATTGAGAAAATTCAACTGATTCATGCTGTGAAATATCATTAGCGAGTTCTATGCCGAACCTGAAATCTCCCATTGCATGGTTTAACTGCAGAACTATAAAGTTAGCTATTGTACCGATAATTCCTAAAGATTTTTCTAATTCAAAAGAAGCGTTTTCTTTCATCCAAGTTGTCGCTTCAGCAATTGTCTTGACAGAGCTTGGTATTTCGATTAATGTTGGATTTTCTAATCCTGACGTTAGTTTGTTATCTTCAAATTTGATTCTCAATCCCATGCAGCGCTTTTGGATTCTTGCTATTATTGTTTGAACATCCTTACTGTCATGAACAACAATACCCATTTGGAGATAGCATCTGGCAAATAGCTGAAGACATTCGAGACCTGAAACTCCTCTCACTTCCATTTTTTTTGCTTGATGAGATGAATTATATGAAGAATTGATCATACATATTAGATTTCGCAAAACTAAATGATAAATAGCACATCATGTTAAAATTGACCCATAATTCCATAAATTCATCAATATTGTTTGCTAAATTCTAGAAAAGAATCATAAGGAAGACACAGAATGGTATTAAATCATCTGACAATGCTTGACAATAGCATTATCTGTATTCAAATTGAAGCTTTCAAGGGGAGATTTTCTGTTCGATAATAACCTTATTAAAACAATATTTTTTTGTTTGGCCGAAGATTTAATTAGAATAAATTCGAAAATCGTAATATCCACATATCAAGGCATATTTCTCTAATTTCCAAAGTTTTTTTATTCAATTCAATTTATTTTCAATCAATTTTCCTACAATTCATTTTATTCAGCGAAATTAATTCTGATCAAGATTTGCTGATAAAATCATTTCAAAAGTTTCTGCAAAATTTTGAGAAGGGTAATCATCAAGTCTCTAAACCTTTTTTAGACGAAATTGATCAGAGCCAGATATAAATATAAAAACACGAATAACGTACATTCTTTTTTTTACTTTTATAATTTTTTCAATTTTTGTTTTTACGCATAGTTTTTAGATGGCTACAAACGAACAAGAAAATATATTAGCCATCGATCGTGCTATCCTTCGCAAATACGAGGTGATCAAAAAGATTGGCCAAGGCGCTTATGGCGTTGTCTGGCGCGTTTTAAACAAACAAACACAACAAGTTGTTGCCTTGAAGAAAGTATTTGGCGCATTTCAAAATGTCACAGATGCATTACGTACATATAGAGAAATCACATTCTTAAGACAGCTTCAAAATCATCCAGATATTGTTTCCTTATTAGCAGTTCATCGCGCAGAAAACGATCTTGATATATATTTAGTATTTGAATGTTTAGAAACAGATGTCAATGCCGTAATTCGAGCGAAAATCCTTTTGGATGTTCATCACAGGTACATTTTTTGGCAACTTTTATGTGCGCTGAAATACATTCACAGTGCAGGAATTATTCACAGAGATCTGAAACCTTCAAATCTTTTGATTAATAGCGACGCTTCAATAAAATTATGCGATTTCGGTCTCGCGAGATCAATAGATACAGACGATAATCCAACCGAATTAACAGATTACATTGCAACTAGATGGTACAGAGCCCCAGAAATTCTTTTTGGATCCTCTTCTTACTCATTTGGAGTTGATATGTGGGCTGCTGGTTGTATTCTGGCTGAACTAGTGAGTGGAAGGCCACTATTCCCAGGATCATCAGCAATGGACCAACTAGAAAGAATTATTAGCTATACAGGACCTTTATCACCTGCAGAAATCGAATCAATGGATTCTTCTTTTACACAAACAATGCTTTCGAATCTCTCATACTCTAGACCTAGATTCTCGCTCGAGGAGAAACTTGAAGGAGCTCCTCCAGACGCAATAGATTTAATTAAGAAATTAATTAGTTTTGATCCGAAAGAGAGACCAACGGCAGAAGAATGCCTCGAACATCCATACGTTGCTCAATTCCATTCAGCTCATAAAGAAATTTCAGCTCCAGAATACGTTAAAATGGCTTTGAGTGATTCTGAGAAACATTCCATTAGAGATTATAGAAATGCTATATATAGAGAAGCTGTTACTTCAACGGAATTAAAGAGAACTGGTCCTCAATTACAGAAATTATTAAATTCCGGTAACTAACCTTGTTATACTTAATAAATATGTTTTATTTTTGACTTTTATCACCATCAAATTACATTTCTACACTTAATTTCCTAAATATTGGATCAATTTTTTTTGTATGAACTGTTTCCATACTCAATATGAAGCACATAATTTCAATATATCATACATTTTTTGTTTCCTAAAACATTTCCAAAGTTATTGATAAAATTTTTTTTTTCTTAAATACTTAAAGTTACCTATCAAATTGATATATTTATCCAAATCTACTAATTTGTTTATATAGATCTAATACAATTCCATAAATTCAAAAATATGAAATCCATATTTAGGGAAATCTGACACAAATGTTCAATAAGCAGAGAGTACTATTGTTGTGTATTATTATATTCAGATTTAATAATATGATATTAAAGTGCACGTTTAAAAATTTTATATCAAATTCAAAAGAGATGAGCGCCAAAATCCCTCCAGCAAGACGATTTCCCAAAAGACTATCGCAACAAGAGTTAAAAGAGAAGACAACATATTACATGAATGAAAATGGAGCAGATAACCATTACAAAGCACAATATTATTTAGAAGCTGCCAAACTTGTCGTTGGAATGAAGGATCAAAAATACTTTACACTTCAACCAAATGTACATCATGCAGATTATAAAGATAAAGCATGGAATGTAGTTTATCAATTAATTATTAAATATCTTGAAGAAAATAATATGACATTAACAATAGATTCAATTAAAAAAGAGTGTGGAAACGCTGGCTTGCCTAAAGAGGATACTGATTTTAACAATCTGGATGAATACTTTGGATCTTTACTAGATTTAGCAGAAAATATTGCCTCTAAGCAATTTAAAGAATGTGTTGCTGAATGGAAGGCAGAAGATTCAAAAATAACTGAATAGTTATCTTAATTCTAATAATAAAATGTGTTATTTATTTGGAATGCATGATATTTACTCATATTTAAGCTACAGTATTTAATTGAAAGTTACTGTGTTGAGATAGCTTATCAAGTGCTTTCATATAGCGATCCAATACTTTTAAATTTCGATTATAAATCAGAAATTTCAAAGTATTTGGATGAATAATCTCCGTGAGAAAGTACTATACTCTACCATTTCAGAAGAACGAATGAATTTATTTATCCTATTCAATTTTTTGAATTGAAACAATTCGATGAAAATTTCCAAGAAAATATTGCTATTCATAACATTTCTAGTAAATCAAAAGTTTTACATTGAAAAGTGCTAAAATGTTTCCCTTGTTTTTCTCGTCGATTTCGACCACTGTTGTTGATTTAAATACCAAAAATTGGCATAGTTTAATAGAAAATCGCAACAAAACAACTGTTTGGATCGTTATGTTTAAATCTTCAACGTGTCCGGCATGCAAAAGTTCATATCCACAATTCGAGAAGGCAGCAAAGAACTGCGACGGAATGATACAGTTTGGAGTTGTTGATACAGCAACAAGCCATGAAATTTCCGAAAAATACCATATTCAATCAGTTCCTTCTTTTATCATCTTTTCGCCAGAAGGAGAAAAAGTTTATGACGGACCACGTAATGCACGAGGATTTACTAATTATCCAGCTAAATTCATACCAAACCATTCACAAATCGCAGATAAAAAATGGATTTCGCCAAAAAGAAACTCCGTTATACTAATTACGAACAAAAAGCAAGTACCACCAATGTGGGCAGCCATTAGTTGCTTCTTTATGAAAAATAAGAAAGGAATTCAAGTTGGACATATCTTTTCAAACGGGAAAGGGGAAATCTTTAACGTCACAGCGTATCCTACTATCATACTATTTAAAGGCACAAACTCTATTGTTTATACTGGAGAATCTGATTTCAGGTCGATTCAAAGGTTTATTATCCAATTCTTTGATGGAATAATCACGAGCAATGATGGTCTCATGAAAATGAATCAGATACAATATATTGATAGTTTGAGTCAGTTTAATCGTCTTTGCAAAAAGAAGAAAAACTGTATAGTCTCTATGACCGATACTACTTCCAAATACCAAGAGATTGCTAATAAATACAAGAATCAGCTTCTTGTTTTTGCAGTTGCTCCAGAAAACTCAGAAATCAAACTTTCAAAACAAGGATTTTACATATTCCACAGACAATCTAATATGGCAACATTTGTGAAGAATGTTGACCAACTTCCAAAATCTATTTCTAAAGTTTTAGACGGAACAATCAAATGGGATAAAATTGATATCAATATCAACAGAAAAGAACTATAAATCATAGTATGTTTTTATTTTATTGTAATAATCTTAAACAATTGTTTTGAAAATTTAATATTTTTTTTTCATTGACAATATCAATACAAAAAAATATTGGCCAGATATATTAATACATGCCTTTCCATAAAAAATTATTTCTAGAATGAACCTGAAGTTGTTGATTAGAGTTATAATAGGCACTTTCATATAACTTCAAACCCAATAAGGCTTTTATGCACTATTTCCAACATGGGTAATATTTCTTCCAAAATATACAACATTTGGCAATTGCAATATGCTTATTTTTATCCATTTTGAACTCGAAATCTTCAATGATTATAAAATTCATATAGATTTGCAAAAACTTTGTGGTACAATACTTTTCTCATGATGACACTATGCAATAGTTTTTGTTGAACAAAATCAGAAAAGGGAAGTAAAATTGAATGGGAAAGGGGAAGTAATTTTTTTTCTTCGATTAATTTCGATATAGATTGACTTTAAAAAGACATTCGGCTTGGATTAATTATTAAAATAAATATTATTATCATGATTGGATGCATGCAAATGATAATAAAGCAAGAAAATACAAAATTCAAAGTTTTATGCAACTTGAAAGAAGCTTCTCCGATTATTACGGAGAATCACAGTCTGAAGAAAAAACAAAGAATGAAACTATTTCAGCAAGTGGCAATTTTTACATTCATAATTCAATATTTTCTTTCCATCAAAAACGAGCAATTTATCTTAATTCCAATAGCAAAGTATTACTTGAAACATGCACATTTTACAACAACAGCTCAAAAGGTTATGTGGGTGGATCTTTCTATATCGAATATTCTGACTGTGTTTTAGTTCATATTTGTTGTTCACATTCTTCTTCAACTGATTGGGGATGCGCGTATTTCATAAACTATGCTAATTCTAAGAAAAGTTATGCTTTTGAATCATCAGTTTCATCATGCAGTGGAATAGGAATTGCATTTTATCATTATCAAGGATACATCCAAGTAAGTAATATGAATACATCGAATCACGAAATTACTTATGATGCTGCATATCTTATTCAATCTCCAACAGGAACAGGAATTCTTAATCTCACAACAGCATTCAATACATCATCTAAAGAAGAAGCAGGAATGATTGATAATTATGGAATATTTAAAATTACAAAATGCAATTATTTAAGTAATACATATACAGGAAATTCTATTGGAATAATAGCATGTGAGTCTTCGACTTGTACATTTTTAGATTGCAGTTTTATGAATAATAAAGGAAATAAATTATTTTCTGATCCAACAATTATTGATCATTGTTATTTTAAAGATAATGAATTAAGTGATGATCCAAACAATATTAATTCAGTTGATCCATTAGATTCATTTATTTCTCATTATACAACAGATAAATGTTTTGATACATATTATTTTTATTATAGAAATGATAATATCAATCTTCCAAATTTTGAAGTTAATGTAATCAGATCATACAAAAGATATGATCATGAAAATGAAAATGAAGAAGAAGGTAACGAAAATGAAATTAATAACATCCAAAACATTGCATTAAATGTTTATAAAACATCATTTGCTGAAGTATTAAACTTACCTTCATTATTTTCATAAAAAGATAAATAACAAATATTTTTATTTCTATTTCATGTTGAACAAAATCTAACTAGATCCCATCTTTCACTTATATATTGGACATAGAAATAATTATTGAACATTATTTCTCTATTTGGTTGTCTATTCTGTTTGAATGTCACTCTCTTTGTTTGTGTTATTATTAACTGAAATGATTGTCATATGAACAAAAATGGAATTGATTTGATTCAAAACATCCTTTCTTGATGTCAATGTGACAAAAAATGTTTTCATTGTTATGAATGAAAAAACAACTATTATGATCATTCAACAAAGAATCAATATCATTTTGATTATCATTTTCGTTTTCATTATTAGAATTGAAATTGTCACTCTCTTTGTTTGTGTTACTATTAATATCATTAGAATTATTATAACTATTACTTGTATCATCAGTCATTAGAATTATTATAACTATTACATTGCCAATGCATGTCTCCCGGAGTGGCATAATATTTTGCAATTAGAGTGTGATTGCAAAACTTTGACCGACAAGAGTGCATAACACACTCTTGTCGGTCGCAATGTGTCATTCTGGGAGACATTGCCAATGCATGTCTCCCAGATTGAGACAATATTCAGCAATCAGAATGACACATTGCGACCGACAAGAGTGCATAACACACTCTTGTCGGTCAAGTTTTGCAATCACACTCTGATTGCAAATATTATGCCACTCCGGGAGACATGCATTGGCAATGTCTCCCAGAATGACACATTGCGCGCGACAAGAGTGCATAACACACTCTTGTCGGTCAAAGTTTTGCAATCACACTCTGATTGCAAAATATTATGCCACTCCGGGAGACATGCATTGGCAATGTCTCCCAGAATGACACATTGCGACCGACAAGAGTGCATAACACACTCTGTCGTCAAAGTTTTGCAATCACACTCTGATTGCAAAATATTATGCCATTCCGGGAGACATGCATTGGCAATGTCTCCAGAATGACACATTGCGACCGACAAGAGTGCATAACACACTCTTGTCGGTCAAAGTTTTGCAATCACACTCTGATTGCAAAATATTATGCCATTCCGGGAGACATGCATTGGCAATGTCTCCCAGAATGACACATTGCGACCGACAAGAGTGCATAACACACTCTTGTCGGTCAAAGTTTTGCAATCACACTCTGATTGCAAAATATTATGCCATTCCGGGAGACATGCATTGGCAATGTCTCCCAGAATGACACATTGCGACCGACAAGAGTGCATAACACACTCTTGTCGGTCAAAGTTTTGCAATCACACTCTGATTGCAAAATATTATGCCATTCCGGGAGACATGCATTGGCAATGTCTCCCAGAATGACACATTGCGACCGACAAGAGTGCATAACACACTCTTGTCGCGTCAAAGTTTTGCAATCACACTCTGATTGCAAAATATTATGCCACTCCGGAGACATGCATTGGCAATGTCTCCCAGAATGACACATTGCGACCGACAAGAGTGCATAACACACTCTTGTCGGTCAAAGTTTTGCAATCACACTCTGATTGCAAAATATTATGCCACTCCGGGAGACATGCATTGGCAATGTCTCCCAGAATGACACATTGCGACCGACAAGAGTGCATAACACACTCTTGTCGGTCAAAGTTTTGCAATCACACTCTGATTGCAAAATATTATGCCATTCCGGGAGACATGCATTGGCAATGTCTCCCAGAATGACACATTGCGACCGACAAGAGTGCATAACACACTCTTGTCGGTCAAAGTTTTGCAATCACACTCTGATTGCAAAATATTATGCCATTCCGGGAGACATGCATTGGCAATGTCTCCCAGAATGACACATTGCGACCGACAAGAGTGCATAACACACTCTTGTCGGTCAAAGTTTTGCAATCACACTCTGATTGCAAAATATTATGCCACTCCGGGAGACATGCATTGGCAATGTCTCCCAGAATGACACATTGCGACCGACAAGAGTGCATAACACACTCTTGTCGGTCAAAGTTTTGCAATCACACTCTGATTGCAAAATATTATGCCATTCCGGGAGACATGCATTGGCAATGTCTCCCAGAATGACACATTGCGACCGACAAGAGTGCATAACACACTCTTGTCGGTCAAAGTTTTGCAATCACACTCTGATTGCAAAATATTATGCCATTCCGGGAGACATGCATTGGCAATGTCTCCCAGAATGACACATTGCGACCGACAAGAGTGCATAACACACTCTTGTCGGTCAAAGTTTTGCAATCACACTCTGATTGCAAAATATTATGCCATTCCGGGAGACATGCATTGGCAATGTCTCCCAGAATGACACATTGCGACCGACAAGAGTGCATAACACACTCTTGTCGGTCAAAGTTTTGCAATCACACTCTGATTGCAAAATATTATGCCATTCCGGGAGACATGCATTGGCAATGTCTCCCAGAATGACACATTGCGACCGACAAGAGTGCATAACACACTCTTGTCGGTCAAAGTTTTGCAATCACACTCTGATTGCAAAATATTATGCCATTCCGGGAGACATGCATTGGCAATGTCTCCCAGAATGACACATTGCGACCGACAAGAGTGCATAACACACTCTTGTCGGTCAAAGTTTTGCAATCACACTCTGATTGCAAAATATTATGCCACTCCGGGAGACATGCATTGGCAATGTCTCCCAGAATGACACATTGCGACCGACAAGAGTGCATAACACACTCTTGTCGGTCAAAGTTTTGCAATCACACTCTGATTGCAAAATATTATGCCATTCCGGGAGACATGCATTGGCAATGTCTCCCAGAATGACACATTGCGACCGACAAGAGTGCATAACACACTCTTGTCGGTCAAAGTTTTGCAATCACACTCTGATTGCAAAATATTATGCCATTCCGGGAGACATGCATTGGCAATGTCTCCCAGAATGACACATTGCGACCGACAAGAGTGCATAACACACTCTTGTCGGTCAAAGTTTTGCAATCACACTCTGATTGCAAAATATTATGCCATTCCGGGAGACATGCATTGGCAATGTCTCCCAGAATGACACATTGCGACCGACAAGAGTGCATAACACACTCTTGTCGGTCAAAGTTTTGCAATCACACTCTGATTGCAAAATATTATGCCACTCCGGGAGACATGCATTGGCAATGTCTCCCAGAATGACACATTGCGACCGACAAGAGTGCATAACACACTCTTGTCGGTCAAAGTTTTGCAATCACACTCTGATTGCAAAATATTATGCCACTCCGGGAGACATGCATTGGCAATGTCTCCCAGAATGACACATTGCGACCGACAAGAGTGCATAACACACTCTTGTCGGTCAAAGTTTTGCAATCACACTCTGATTGCAAAATATTATGCCATTCCGGGAGACATGCATTGGCAATGTCTCCCAGAATGACACATTGCGACCGACAAGAGTGCATAACACACTCTTGTCGGTCAAAGTTTTGCAATCACACTCTGATTGCAAAATATTATGCCACTCCGGGAGACATGCATTGGCAATGTCTCCCAGAATGACACATTGCGACCGACAAGAGTGCATAACACACTCTTGTCGGTCAAAGTTTTGCAATCACACTCTGATTGCAAAATATTATGCCATTCCGGGAGACATGCATTGGCAATGTCTCCCAGAATGACACATTGCGACCGACAAGAGTGCATAACACACTCTTGTCGGTCAAAGTTTTGCAATCACACTCTGATTGCAAAATATTATGCCACTCCGGGAGACATGCATTGGCAATGTCTCCCAGAATGACACATGCGACCGACAAGAGTGCATAACACACTCTTGTCGGTCAAAGTTTTGCAATCACACTCTGATTGCAAAATATTATGCCATTCCGGGAGACATGCATTGGCAATGTCTCCCAGAATGACACATTGCGACCGACAAGAGTGCATAACACACTCTTGTCGGTCAAAGTTTTGCAATCACACTCTGATTGCAAAATATTATGCCACTCCGGGAGACATGCATTGGCAATGTCTCCCAGAATGACACATTGCGACCGACAAGAGTGCATAACACACTCTTGTCGGTCAAAGTTTTGCAATCACACTCTGATTGCAAAATATTATGCCATTCCGGGAGACATGCATTGGCAATGTCTCCCAGAATGACACATTGCGACCGACAAGAGTGCATAACACACTCTTGTCGGTCAAAGTTTTGCAATCACACTCTGATTGCAAAATATTATGCCATTCGGGAGACATGCATTGGCAATGTCTCCCAGAATGATACATTGCGACCGACAAGAGTGCATAACACACTCTTGTCGGTCAAAGTTTTGCAATCACACTCTGATTGCAAAATATTATGCCATTCCGGGAGACATGCATTGGCAATGTCTCCCAGAATGACACATTGCGACCGACAAGAGTGCATAACACATCTTGTCGGTCAAAGTTTTGCAATCACACTCTGATTGCAAAATATTATGCCATTCCGGGAGACATGCATTGGCAATGTCTCCCAGAATGACACATTGCGACCGACAAGAGTGCATAACACACTCTTGTCGGTCAAAGTTTTGCAATCACACTCTGATTGCAAAATATTATGCCATTCCGGGAGACATGCATTGGCAATGTCTCCCAGAATGACACATTGCGACCGACAAGAGTGCATAACACACTCTTGTCGGTCAAAGTTTTGCAATCACACTCTGATTGCAAAATATTATGCCACTCCGGGAGACATGCATTGGCAATGTCTCCCAGAATGACACATTGCGACCGACAAGAGTGCATAACACACTCTTGTCGGTCAAAGTTTTGCAATCACACTCTGATTGCAAAATATTATGCCATTCCGGGAGACATGCATTGGCAATGTCTCCCAGAATGACACATTGCGACCGACAAGAGTGCATAACACACTCTTGTCGGTCAAAGTTTTGCAATCACACTCTGATTGCAAAATATTATGCCACTCCGGGAGACATGCATTGGCAATGTCTCCCAGAATGAC